TAATCAAGAGATAGAACATAAATGTTAGGTTATAATCTAGAAAAATTCCAATCCCCACAGCCTTATGTCTCCAAAATATAGGCAAAGAAAACAAACCCGTCATCGTTTCGCCAATTCAGACATCGTCAGGACAGAAAAAAACATCTAATCGAACATCACTCCAATCACATACTGTAGCAGATGTCATAGAGTGATGTTCGATTAGATGTTTTTTTCTGTCCTGACGATGTCTGAATTGGCGAAACGATGACGGGTTTGTTTTCTTTGCCTGCATTTTGGAAACATAAGACTGTGTGGTTTGGATTTTTTCCAAATTATAACCTAACACTTAGTTTAGTATAGTTTACTAGCATCGAAATTTCTCATTTCATATTTCTTAATATGCATATATTATTTATTATGTATATGCGTAAACTTATTAAGTTATAATGAATAGTATTAGAAACTAATGAATTAGTACAACTTACACATTTCGAAGTTCTTCTTTCTTCTTTTTTTGCTCTAGTTGATGTTTAAGTTTTGGATTCTTTTCCAATCTTTTTTGAACCCTGAAATGACAATATTAAATTTTTATAATTTTTTTAAACATTATTTCTGTCAACTAAAAAAAAATATGTAAATAAAATTACTTAATAAATAATAGTACTCAATTTGAGTATCATTTTAAAGAAATGATTATTTTTAATATTTTATATGCTCATTTAGTTAGATAGAAAATAACTTTATTCTTGGACGAAATCCCTTAAGAATAACAGAATGTTACAGAAAAAAAAAAAAGAATAATGTCTCACCAGAAAAACTACTATATTAAAAAATAGCTGGATAAAAGCTTTAAGTAAACAAACAATACAGACTAAATCAAACCAATGAGACAAAATAATACAATTATATCCAATACAAATAAGAAATAAAACAAAATAGTCCCTACATAGCTAAAACTATAAAAGAATATAATAATCACAAGAAAAAGGTATAACGAAACAATGGAATACAAAATAAGGTCCTCTGATAAATGAGCAACAAATCTCCTATGAATAAAAGAAAATTTCAATTCTTATTGAAATACATATACATATAACCATGATGTCAAAAGAAAGATGGTGTGGAAAAAAAAAATATGTATATATATATAAGATCATAAGTCATATGTGCAAAAATAAATAAAAAATAATATTTTTTACATTATTAATTAATATGTAGTTATGTAGTAGCCATTTTGACTGTTGCAAGAATAGAAATTGGAATATAGGAGGGTTTCAAAGGTGGATAGGGAGAGAGCATGACGGATTTTTAAAGGTAAGGAATTCCAGAAAGAAGCAGAGCGGACAACGAAGGAGTTTTCAAAAGAGGCAGATCTGTGAAAAGGAGTATTAAGTTGAGATGGTCAGGATCATGTGGTGAGAGAGTGGACAGAGGACTTGAATTGGAGAAGATCATAGGTCTTGGAGGGGCAACGGCTGTTATTAATTCGATAGAGGAATGTGCCTAGGAAATATTGTCTACGGAAGGAAGGAAAGAGCCACCGTAACTCGGCATATTGGTGGAAGACATGGAAACGTCTCGGGGGGTCCCACCGACAAATCTGACAAAAGATTGAAAAAATTTACTGTTACATTTATATTTGATTCTCAAGAAATCCATTTTTAAGGTTAGAAGTTACGATAAACTTCATGGTTCACAGACAAGATAAATAAAAACAGACCAGTAAAAATAGCATAGGCGCAATCCTCCCGTTAAAGTTATGAAAATACAATTATTTAAACACCAACCTCGGAACCCTGCAAATGTATTTGTTTATTAAAAACGCATAACACAGTATTGTCCTCATTCCACCCAACCCAAAGGACTAAACGAGCCTAACACCACCATCCCAACCTCGCTCACACGATACTCGCCGGGGTTCTACCCTGTCTTTCATGCTGCTCATAACTCCTCGCTCTTGTACACGCAAGGTTTCATTCATACGGCCGCCTCCCATATTCCCGCGCTACGCTTCGACCCAATTAAGCGAGATAGTTAATACCGTTCCTCGCCCCCTACTCACTCAACCTCAGCGCTCCCAACACCCCCATTTACCCCGGTTATATAACGCCCGCCCCCCGATATTTATGTCCTAGTACTGAAGCCAACCAAACAACATTTTTGCACTTCAAAGATACCCAGCTTTGGTCCCCCTTTAGCTCGCACGCTAACTTCCCACACATTCTACACTTTTTCTCACCTGACTACCTTTCTCGGCCTTCAGCTTTCATTCCCTAGCCCCACCAATCGCCCAAGCCAGAATAATCATTGTTGTTCCTAGTTTGTTCGATCGCTCACCAAACCTCCGTCCACCCCGACCGCGACCCCCCGGACAACTTTCACATACAAATACCAATAACAGAACAAGTCCTAATACATTCCAGCCTCTCTGCGCCTACGTCTATACATTACAACTTATTATCGTTAAGAGAGAAGATGATAGCACTAGACCTGACCCGCCCTAAATGCCGCCCCCCGCAGTCAATAGTATTCCCAGGCACGTTGACTCCCCTCGGCCAAACATCAAGACTCCATTTACGTCCTTACCAAAACTTGCCTCCACGCCAACTACCCACAGTGCCAAAGAGCACCGTACTGCACCACCCAACCTCACACCCCCAAAGACTCGTTCCTCGCTCCGCTACCCACCATTCCCCTACGCTCACCATTTATACATTCGTAAACCCCCCCAAATAACGCGCATTAACTTAACGTTTCCCCCTGGCATTAACCATAATGCATTACCCTCCCAGCGACTATCCCAGGGCTGAGCCCATTTCACGGCCCTTCGCGCTCCCCCCAGCCCACCCTTCTACCATTCACCCACACTACCGCCCCTACCTCTATGCTCCACACTCACTATCCTATTAACCACCAACCACCCCTCGAGCCCTGACCTCACCACGTCTTTCCTCCCCCTACCCCAATGCCCCTCAACCACATTCACAAATTTCCAATCATACTTACTCACCGCTCCCCCATGCACTCACTACCACTCCAGCCCGAAACCCTAGCTCAAGGGTAACACCCCCCCGAACTCAAGCCCGCCCAAACCCCCCACGAACCCCAGAAACCGACGACTTCCCCTAACTATACTCCCCAAACCATCACAAATTACTTTTACCCCCCCAACCAACCAGCAAACCCAAACAAGACACCTTCTTCATCCAGCGCAACATCTATAAATTCTTCTCTCCCCCACTTCCCTTTATCCTCACCTTCACAAAACAGCTATCTTACACGGCCCCACTTACCCCATAATCCCAAACCCCGGACATTCAACGGTACAGAGGAGCGTAAGAACTCAGCCCAACCATTACCATTCCACTACTCCACGATTTCGACCGTGTACACAAACCCCGATAATCACTTCCGCAACATCACTACTAACCAAAATCAACTCAAAATAAATTCAAGCTTATTTCCAAATGAACTTGCGCCACTAACTTTTGGTCTTAGCAGCTACCACCCAACACGTCGGCCACTACTGTCGTGTCCTGCATCCCACGCTAGGATCCAAAATCCACCCCCAACCACTCCCGATCATCACTTTGACCACATAAGATGTCAATACCCAACACACGTTACCCTACATAACCCTCCCACCTCCCTTTACCCTCCACCACACTTAACAGCCGTTTGCCCAATGCTATACGCTGCTTCTACTTGTGATGTAACCCCATACTGAAAAATAACTCCAACCACTTCGCCGCACCCCCCAACCCCATGATGAACATTTGTCCTGAATCCTCCACAGCCCCCCACGAAGACTCGTCCTCTCACAATACCAAGTATAACCCTCCCCCCACTCAATATTTATAACAATGCCTTACATCAAATCCCCTACCCCATATTGCAATGAGTTGTCTCGAGCACTGCTCCCTAACCAGTTCCATGAGGTGGGAATTCTTCATTTTGCAGCTCGTACGTGCCCTGCCTTAGTTCGTCTGCCATCCCCTCATTGGACTAAACTTCATTTAATAGCATGCGGTGATTGATTCCCGAGGTGACTTTGGATACATGTATTCCAGCCTCTCGCGATTTCCCGGTCGCCGTACAAATAGCTCCCCCTGGGCCTTCCGCACAACATCGAGGTCCCCCCACTACGGAGCAGTAGTGTATCGTCCATCCGACCCTCCCGGAAGGAACATTGAGGCTCTCGGAGATGGACTCAGTGTGATGGACAATTTCGGCATTCATTCATTACAATATCGCAACAGATTCAACAATACAAT